CACACACACACACACACACACACACACACACACACACACACACACACACACACAGTGTATCTGAAAGCCTGCTGGGAGCTCAATGTAAAAGGTGGTGATAAAAATTATCAGTTTGGTTTCTAGAGAACGGAGTTCAGGAAAAATCCCTGATCCTTTGCCTCTGTTACTTGTTACTTAGTAACTTTTTTTGATTTAGAAATTATGAAATTAAAAATTTAATGAGTGAAAATAAAAAAGAAAAGAGACTATACGTTATCTACATGGCAGGAGGCAGAATGCAAAGATTTCACATGACACAAACTATTTGTTTTCCTGTTATTTTGCCTTCTTGGGAAAACTTTGACCTTTTCTAAAACCTTGATATTTTTGGTACCAGTCCCTTTTTTGCCAGCTTAATCCTTTTCAAGTTACCTACTTAAAATGTATGGCTGCTAATGGGTCTTCATGTGTAACATTTAAATAGCCATTTTAAACCAAGCTGGATTTAAAGGGATAACGTAATCATGAATAATTCAGTAAATACTTACTTTATGCTAGCCAGTCTTATTGCGGTTATGATAATGACCAGTTGCCGGCAGCCACATTACCGCTACAGTGCATGTCAACAGTTTTCCTTTCCCTGCCTGACGCTTGCAAGTGGCACAGCTGCTATCTATAGTCCATCTCTATTTTAAGACCATGCAGACAGGACGCAATGGAGCTCACACAAATCTTTATTTACCATGCAGCTCGAGGGAAAAAATGGCTATTCCACACTCGAGTCACACACAAAATAATTACTTGAGAGGCCGTTTTAGGAAGAACAGAGATCCTGGTTTAAGAGACCATGGAAATGCCCGAAGGCCTGGGAATCAACCGGGATATTCATGCCGAGAATGCGACCCTTGATCTGGAGAACAGAGAGTGCCAGGCAGGCTGGCTGAGAGTGAGGGTGGAGGACAGTTGGTTCACTGTGGAGCGGGCTTTTCTCCTTAAGTACAGCGACTATTTCTGTGCTCTTTTTCACTCTGGGATGAAAGAAAGTCAGCAAGATGAGCTCTACCTGAAAGGAGGAGTGCACGCAAGAGGTTTCCTCATTGCCCTTGCAGTCTGCAGGGGAGAGATTCCCACCATCAGTGAACCAGATGAGCTTGTCGAAGCGGTCGAGTGTGCTGCTTTTCTACAGGTTGAACATTTGGTCCAGCATCTTTGCGACATTATAGACTCGGACAACTGCCTTCTGCTTTACCATACAGCCTCCATATTTGGGGTGCACGCACTGTTTCACAATGCTGCACTCTTTCTTTGTGACACCTTTGATGATCTCAAGGATGAAGCAGAAAGTTCAATCCCCGAGGAGCTGCTGCAATACTCTCAAACTTTGTCCCCTTCTTCTTTTATTGCTATAGGGACCCATTCTCCTTCACTGGAGCTGCTGCAAGACTCCTTCAGGGTCGTTTGCTACCTCGACGAAAAAGAGGGGCAGTGGAAGCATCTGACAGACCTACCAACTGCTTGCAGCACCTCCATGGCTGGAGTAGCAGTGGTTGACAATCGCTTATATATCGTTGGTGGGGTTTTTGGTTACAGTAAGGACACAGTGGACAGTAGCTTCTGCTACAACCCCGATTCAGGACTTTGGACTACTCTCCCAGGTCCCCAGCAACCCAGATATAATTTTACCCTTCTTGGGCACGGGGGTCAGCTCTACGCCATTGGTGGAGAGTCCCAAAAGAATATAATTTCCACAGCAGAGAGGTATGATGTTGTAAAAGGAGAGTGGACATTTATACAGCATGCGCCACGACCCGTAGCATCTGCAGCTTGTGCTGTCGCTAGACGACGGATATTTATTTGCTTCTGGAAGCCACCAGACACCACAGACATCTATGAATACGTACCTGTGAATGATGAGTGGAAGCTTGCTACCACACTGATCAGACCTCAGAGCTATGGCCACTGTATGGTAGCTCACAAGGACAATTTGTATGTGATGCGCAACGGGCCTTGTGACGACTTTCTTCGCTGTCTAATGGATTGTTATAATATCACAACAGGCCAGTGGACAGCTATGCATGGGCATTACATCAACAGCAAGGGAGCTCTGTTCACCGCAATGATCAGGGGGGATTCTGCGTTCACAGTGAAACACATGTTAACTCTTGTGTATACCATCACTGAAAATGGATGGAAGCCCCGTAAGCAGATGAACGGATTTCCAAAGAGTGGTTCACTGTGGACATGTTTACTCAGGCTTCCCAAGACGGGGCCAGTTATACCACAGCTGGATGCAGAAGGCAAGGAAGGAGAAATGCCTCTGTCAGACCTGTCTGAAGCATATCTGGAAGCTATACAGCACTTGTGAAATTATTGTACAACTGAAAAGTAAAACGTTTTTTGAGATTTTAAATAATAAAATAAATCCTCGAAAATACTGCTGCTAAATAATTCTGAAGGCTCCAAATGGACAAAAATTAACTTTATTTCAATGCATCCAATTCACATGCACTCTCACACACATGCTGACATGCACTTGCACTGATTAACAACAGCTGCTACTGCAGTTTATAGTAGGGAGGCCACTGTGCATGTGTGTGAAGTTCAAAGGCACTGACGGGATGTTTTAAACCTTTTTCCTGAAGTCACACTGGGCCAATTCAGAAGCCACTGGTCTCCTAGTCAACATGAAACACAGTGTAGTTCCCTCTCACACACTCCTGAACAATCACCTCTCCAGTCTTGTAGCCCCATGGGTTGTTAAATACCTGCTTCTGAGGGAGAACACATTTCACGAAGCCTCGGCTTGCAACTCTGATGGTTGAGGGGAATGATTTTGGCTTGCATGACCACAGACGTTATTTGTGTCATTATATTAAAACTGCTGCAGCTGGGTTTCAATATCTGACAACAACCCATTAACTTACAGTACTTTTTACTGTAAGTTACAGTACTGTTTTTAGCACTACGCTTCTTAGTGATAGCTGTGCACATACTGTAACACAAGACCAAAATGCTGTCGGTTACATATCAATTTGGAATTTGTCTTCTGGCTTCTTTGGTATACAGTAGGATATCTTGATCACCACTGATTTGTTCCATCTACTATATTACTTCAGCCACTGACTTGGGTCAGTGCTATTAACATTCCCACAACCACAGTGGCAGAGACCCAAATATTTGTGCTTTTTAAGCCAAATCATTCTGCATCATTCTTCTGTTACTCCAATTATGGAAAGAACTGGTCAACACTTACTGTTCTGGGGGGTGGCAGGTCGGGAAGGTTCTTTTGTGGGACGGGGACACGTTTTGCTGCTTTTCCATTGAGCAGGGCATCTAATCTGTCATCTTGGTAACACAAGCAGAGAGTGGAAGGTCAGTATATATCAGGCATTTTGCATTTAAATTCATTTCCATAGCATACCAGAACATTTCAGGATAAATGAATAGCTGTCATCTTGCAAGTATAAATTCCACATATCCAGCTATCTCGGTTAAATATTAATGCAGTGGTATCCCCAACTAACACAATGATATAATCTTCAAATCTATATCTATATATATATAGATATATATATATAGCTTTTCAAACCTTGCAGTCAACCTGTTCATAACTGGGCTTTGAAAGTGCAAATTTACTTGTTTGTTCCTGCTGAAAGCCATGTTCTGTTAAGCTAATCCATGGGTTCCAAAACTGTGAGCTGAGGCAAGTGAAAAATAAACATGCAAGAGTTTGCTGATGCTATCATGTTCACATCATTTGTGTAAGATTCAAAATATTTCCTTTAACAAAGTTAATTATTGATAAAAATGGTATGATGTAGGGCATGAGTTAATATTTTGCCTCTGAACGGGCATGCTAGAAAGAGTGTTGGCTATGTTAGCTATGCTAGCATTTAGCATGCAGATACGGAGTGATAACACCATATACAGTATGATAACAAACCTCTACACTGTCTTTAACCAAACTCCCCCAAATGTTAAAATACTAACAATGGTATGGCCACTTGTGGTGTCAAGCATTAAGTCATAATTTTGTCTTTTTTTTTCTTTGTTTTATGCTTTTCATGCTAACCTAAACCATTTAGGATAATATCAGTAGGTCATTTTGATTCATGCATTTATCTTTTTTCTAATATTGTAAGATCTTTACCTTACCATATAAACCATCTTAAGGCAACTGTTTTTGTGAATTGGGGGTGTATATTGTGGCGAGCTCAGGCAAGGAGGAGACGGAGGTATCGTTTGGTCTTGCTTCCTGTGAGCTAGCCAGGGAGCACAGCCGTTTATTAACATTTGCAGAAGAACACTGCCGCTAGCTAACTGCTCAGCGCGGCAACAACAACA